TGGATATTGGTCAATTTCATTCCATGTATAAAAATGCAAAAAACCCCAAAAAAAATGGTGACAACCTTTTAATTTAACTCAAATTAAACCCAACATTTTAATTTAATGCCAATTAAACCCTAAAAACAAATGTTGTTAAACAATTAACAGATTTAGAGGTTTAATGATCTAATTTTGAAATTTACGTTCATTAAACAACCATTATCAATAAATCCAATAATATTTAAACTAAAAAAACTTTAAAATTCATACAAAATCAGAAGTTAAAAAACCACAAATCTAGATATTCTAAATAAAAAAAATAAACACGAAATTATATCATCTACTCAAATCTATGATAAAATCTTAAGCGTAGCTTGTTGTTGAACTCAATTATACGTTGTTAGTCATCTTCTTCTCATAATAGCCTCTAAATTTATCCATGATTTAACAACATTTGTTTTCTTGGGGGCCTTAAATTAAAATGTTATAGTTTAATTATCACCACTAAATTCCTTAGGGTTTTAAAAGATTCTTTGAGATTTTGTTTTTGCATTTTTTCCCACATTTCTCATCAAAAGAACATAATTAATATAATACATTGCCATAAGTTCTGATTTTTTTTTTATAAAAATTTTCTATAAATTTTTTAGTTGTATTTCATTTTAAGGGACTAATTACAATACGATAGGTATTAGCTTTTTTTCGCTGCTAGTACTTGACATATTCACTGTTGGAAATAAAATGATCTCCACTAAATTAAGCGAGTCACTTAATGCCATATAGTGTACAATATAGTGGAATCTTTAGCATGATCTTTAGCATTTTTGGTCCAGCTAAAAATTCTAGAAAAAAATTGAATGTTAGAATGTATCTTCTACGATGTTTTTAAAAAAAAAGAGTATCGAAAAATATAATTCCAAAGGTTTATAAATTAATGTGTCACTATTAATGGTCAATCTATACGCAAAAGATAGCAAATTGAAATATTTGCAAATGGCGCCCAAACTAAAAAGTATGGGAAACAAAAAAAATTGTACCACTAAAAACAAATGCTTTTGATTGGTGGAGTTATGATCACGAGGATCGTCAAAACTTTATTCAATATCCACCGTTGAGTAGGTGTCAAATCGAATGGATCAAAATAAATTTTCCCTCTAAAACAAAAAAATTAAAACTCCCTCCAAAGTTTTCACCCTCCCCATAAAACCAATTCCGACTCTTCCCAAATCTCCACACCCAAAATTTCAATCCCAATTTCGAGAAAACCAGAATCACAATCCCTAAATGGCTCGTACAAAGCAAACCGCAAGGAAATCCACCGGAGGAAAAGCACCGAGGAAGCAACTCGCGACGAAAGCGGCGAGGAAATCAGCTCCGGCGACCGGAGGAGTGAAGAAGCCACACAGATTCCGTCCCGGAACCGTTGCGCTAAGAGAAATCAGGAAGTATCAGAAGAGCACCGAGCTTCTGATCCGCAAGCTTCCGTTCCAGAGATTGGTTCGTGAGATCGCTCAGGATTTCAAAACCGATCTGCGTTTCCAGAGCAGCGCCGTTGCAGCACTCCAAGAGGCAGCCGAAGCTTATCTCGTTGGATTGTTCGAAGATACTAACCTTTGCGCGATTCATGCGAAGAGGGTCACGATCATGCCTAAGGATATTCAGTTGGCGAGGAGAATCAGAGGAGAGAGAGCTTAATGTGTTGATTGATGTTCTTGGGATTTGATGGGTTTTTCGATTTACGTTTATGGGTTTATGCAAGTTTATATCTTTTGTTGCTTTTGTTTCGGATTGTAGTTGGGTTAGTCTATGCTTTTTATTGCAGGTAAGGTGTTTGTTGAAATTCCCCAATGAAACTTTTCTTGTTCAATATAACGTTTAATCTAAAAGTCTAGCTAAATCTTTATATCTCTGCACCTTCCATGGATTTGTTATTTATGCTTTTTAAATTTGGAGTCACAATCACTAAGAAACATTGCAATCTTTTGAAAGAAATATTATGGGCCCAAATATTATTTGCCATAGTTAAGGCATGTAGATATTTTATTAGTACGACAAACACAGTTTCTAAACTCAACGAAGAAGAAAAAGGATTATTTATTTAGTCTCAATCAATTCTTCAGAATTGTTAATGTATTGTAATTGTCGTTTGAGATTGATGTCAAAGGCAAAAAGTCTTAATTTTCTTTTTTTTTGAAACTTAAAAGTCTTAAACTTGGTCCCATAATTTATAATGTTGTTAATTAACTGTGTTTATTGAGTTGATTGCGTTTGTATAAGATGGCGTCAATTTAAGATGGAAAGAACAAACGAGAAATTACTAAATGGAGAACAAAATCCAAAATACGTTATTGGACAATTCAAGGAAATGCGACAATGATAGATTGTGTTGTCATTTCATTTTGTAAAAATCCAAATTACGAAAAAGTTTAATGTTTTTGAGTGGGAAAAATGCACTAAAAAGTGCAAAACGACAACGTATTCCAACATCCGTCGTTGTTGTTGCAAAAGAAAGAAAGAAAAGATGCAAAATGCTAGCTCCAACGCAGAGATAAAATTATTGAAATAAAAAGCCGCAACGACAAAATCTTTTAAAAAAGGAAAAATTAAAATTATCAAAAGTTAAAAAGAAATAAACGTGTCAAATGTCAGGTGACTACATCTACCTGCTTGACCACACGACTAGAACACGATAAATCCTTGTTTTAATTTGATTTTTTTCCTGTAAATAAATAATTACTTTTATAAAATCGAATTGTTATTCAGATTTTTAATTACTATCCTGAGATGATATACTGAAATGAAAAAATAATCGTTAACAAAAATTTAAATTTTGCTTCAACTTCGAAAAATGTCAAGTATTTTAGGAGGGTTTCATATTATTTCTGATACAACAGAAGTATATAAATATATGATTAATATGGCGATTTGTGTATTGTCCAAATATAGTGGGAACCATGAGGAATATATTGGGCCAATGATGGGCCATGAAATGGGTAACAAGTTCATCCCCCATGATCAATCCTTGTCGATGCTCGAATAGACGCCTTATTTGACTTTGTCGTTCATTTATATATATGTTTTGTTTGTCCATTTAGGGTTGGCGTATTAAAATTCGAGTTAAATTAATAGAAGTATATATATATATCTCTTTTTTTGAGAAAGAGAAATATATATATTTCATGTAAAATAATGTAAGAAACCATATAATGGATTTTATTAAGTACACAAAGATTTCTCCAACAGAAGTTTGGATCCATTATATGAGAAACTTAAGGGTTATGCCTACAAAAGTTATTAGCAATATCATTATTGAGGATGCACGAGCATAATCATTCAATCAATAAAACTATAAGAATTTCTTATTACTTAATACTATAAGGTAGAATGACGAATAATGATCTAATGATTGGTACGGAAATTTCCTAAGCTACCTTGTCATTCTTTTAAAGAGAAATTGGCTCCGAAT